CACACACACACACACACACACACACACACACACACACACACACACACACACACACACACACACACACACTGGCATCAAGGCCAAACACTGAACATAAACACAAGAGGGTTGGAAGCAAAATGTTCAGGATGTGTCTGATTCTGTCACCACCGAGCTTTAAAAGCTTTCAGGTCAAAGAAAAGTAAAATTKATTTTAGTCCAAAAACTAGAAGCATATATCACAGATTAAGATTTGGCAACTGTTTTAGTCTTTTTTTTTTTTTTTTGGTCCATGTTTTGTTCAGATTTATGATTCCTTCATGCTCTTTATATTTCTTTAAACGCAGTATGTTGTGAAGTTCAGCTGTGCTGCTTCTAATCTGAGCTTTAAGAGGTGAAGTGCCAGCTTCTGCTGATCAAACACATRCATTGACAATCATCAGTAGTTTGCTGTTTCAGACAGACGTTTGAACATTACACCAGGGTGGAAAGCAATCAGCAARGACCATAAAGGCATCTGTTGTTATTCAAAGGCTTAAATGTAAACTTAGGATCTTCCTAGATGTGTACCTCCCAGCAAATTCACCCCAAGGTCAGACTGCGCAACACTCGAGAAACCCAAGAGCTCCAAGCTGAAGTTAAAGTTTGTGAAAGTTGTGAAACATGTTGTGAAACATGTTTTAAGCAGCTGCAAAATATAGAAACATTTAATCTATCAAATAAAAAATACAGTCACTGATTTGCTTTTAATTACAACATTAAAGCAGCTAAAAGTGGGAGCTAAGAGCAAAAAAACAACAACAATTGTTATTCTATCAGTAAATAATGTATGTTAATTGAATTGAAGACAAACAAAAAGGAGTAAACGCTTTATTTTAGACCAGAAGTCAGGGAAAGCTCCAACATCAGAAGGAACATCGGCTCCTGCTACTTTTAACTTGAAGCCCTCGCCAGTCATCAGATGAAACATATCAGCTGCAGATAAGAGCTGGAGTTAATCATTTATCTTCTGTAACAAGTTGGAAACAGGACTCAGATGTTGTTGCGTCAGAAACGGAGGATTGGTTTGATTCTGTTTGCTCTGTTTGGTCGTTGTTTGTGGTGAGGTCGTAAAACTGGTCCAAACCGAACCTTCAAACAGACATCTGGACTGAGAGGTTCGGCGGTGTCACCTCAACGCTCCTCTGCGCTCAAACCTTCTATAAATCATCTGCTCTTTGTTTTATATCGGCAGCAGCTGAGACGTCCACTACGGGTGGATTTGCTGCGTGGATAAAAACTCCAACCTGTTTAATTTCACAAAGCAGTTATCGTCAGGCAGCAGAGAGGGACACCTAAATGTCAGGGTATTGTGCAGCGGCGGGTGTTGTCTCCTCCAACGGCTCCAGATAAAACAGAGAATTCAGATTATCTCTCTCAGACACGCRGACACCGCCGCACCTCGCTGCATTTTTAACCTCCACAGAGTATTCTTCATCTTTTTGATGAGATGGCACCCTGTCCCCCCCCCACTGCTAGGAGTTTCCACCCATTGATTACCCATCTGTGTGTTTTGCGAGCTGCTTCGGCTGTTACATCAGCCGTGTGTGATTGGTGGCTTAAAAAAATAACGCKACAATTTAAGTACTCGCTGCAGTGATGCTGCTGCTTGTTTTAAAATACAGAAAATGTTTCATAAAGCGAACCGTTCGTTTGCAGACTTTCTTAATTAAAAAAAAAAGCTTGTGACTGTTTTTATTTTTTTGCTCGAGTTGAAATGTTTCTGACTTTTTTGAGGTGAACTTTTGGGTTTGAAAATGCCACCAAAAAATCAGCAGAAAAAATAGATAAGAGGTGGCAGTTTTTCCTGGTTAAAACCTTYCGCAACAAATTTAAATTCCAAAGTTTCTCAGTTTAGCAAAGTACCAGTGTTTCTGCTTGGTGAAGGAGTTCTAGAGATTGTGTGTAGATGGGTTATTGTTAAAATTTGGCCAAGTTTTTTGGGTTTTTTTTTTACATTTTTGCTCAAAAATATAGATTTTTCACATTTTCTCACAAATTATCTGTGCTTAACAGTTATGTATTAGGTAAGGAGTTAAAACAAATATCTGATTTTTAAGTTAAGTTATAATAAAATAAGAAAACGGTGACAAATAATGGTCATAATMAAGATGAAGTCCGTTAAAACACAAAACACTCTGATGCTCTATATACACTCTGTGTTACTCTGAAAGGTAGTTTAGTCCCTCTGATGACCTGACACAAAGTATTGATTTTTATTTTTTATGCAGGGTGGATTAAACAGCTCTGTTGTGTTGCGTAATCTGAAACATAACAAGTCATAAAACAATTTTTTTAACACTCAGATTTTCCTCTTTGTTGCACCACAAGTTGTCACAGGAATGAAATGAAGCTAGGCTTTATGGACAGTGTYATTTAAAAGGGTGGACGTAAGTCACATTTTATTTTAATGGCTAAAGGCGCAGTCATGACTTCTCACAACAAAGACATTCAGGCTCTAACAAAGACAACAGTTGTGTTTTTATTAACAAAACAATAAAAAAATTGTTCCAGTTTCTTCTCAGATTGTTGGACAAACTGAATCACAGACATACTTGTCTTTTTATTCAAAAAAATCCTGCACAAACTGAATCAACGATGCCCCAAAGTAAAGATTTTAGACAATTACACAACCTCTGCTGCTTGAGTTGACTCATCCATCAAAACACAGCCAGCAGCAGACCTGACCTGCTCTGGCAGCTCAAAGTATTTTAACAGTACATTCCTGTTATGTACATCAGTACTGACCTCAGACGTTGTCCTTTAGTATTTGCATAAACGTCCAGTTAGATGATTTATCTTTTCTGTTTGTACTGTTGCATATAATTTTAAAAGCAGATTTTTTTTTCCTGTTTGCAAAGCTGTTAGTTTTTCTCATCTATTTTTTACTTTTTAATTTATTGTGTGCTGAAATGGGAAACGTCTGAGAGGAAACTGTGAACAGTGTTAAAGTAAAAGTTGCACTCCAAAGAGTAAATTACGCCTTTTAAAAAGACTCAGAACTGTTCTTGTGTGCTATAATATAAATCTGCACAATGTTAAACTCRACCATGATCAACATTTCAGAAACTGTTTATACAAAATCTGTCTGTTTACAGTCAGACTCTCTGGTGGGGTCCTGTTTTCTTTTAGTCCCTGCTGTTTTAGTCAAACCAGGCTTTTAAATGCTTTCAGGCTTTGCTGCAGAAATGTTCCCAGTGTAGAAACAAGCTATATTAAAGAGCTGAGCAGGTCGCAGAGATTTGATATGATATTCACTTGCAGTCCCAGTATTCGTGACTGAGGCTGTATTTTGTTGTTTGCAGGTCAGGTTAAAATGTGATGGATGGACAGTTGTAGGGCTGTGTATTGGCAAGAATTTGGCGATACGATACATATCATGACAGAGGGGTCACGATACGATAT